CCCTACACATTTTATGGATACTGAATATCATTGGACTGAGATCAGATGAATATTGCATGATGGATTAAAACACCAAGGAGAGGGAGGATTGTTTTAATGGGGTGCATAAAAGCGTGTTTTAACTAAGTAATAGGCTGAAGTGAAGCAAGGGAAGATGTTGGAACAGTGTGGAATAACTTAATGTTCAATCGTCCAAGAGAGCTATAGGAGCTCTAGGACTTTGTCCTGTCCAGTTGTAAAATTTTGTCAAAGCCCCAGAGAACATGCCTGAAGGAGTTATCTTGCCCTGTGAAAACTGCTGATGGTAAATAGAAGTGCACATGACTGACCTCCCTGCTCCGCTGTATCTGGTCTTTCTCCAGGCTGACTGTTGCAATCTCCTTCCTTTTTTTAATTTTTAAATATATTGTTGCCCCTTTTACCAGAGTGATTGCCTGTTGTTTGGCCCTAGCCAGGTTGTTCCCAATAGGAACAGAAATTGATGACAGCAGCCAGGCATTTCTGTGGTCTAATTAGGCTTATTGACTCTGAATGCGTACACAGTCCTATTTCCCTGAATGTAATAGGAGCAAGCAGCAGGCAGTTTTCTTGCTTGCTATTTCCAGGCCTGGCCATGCAATCAGTTCAGTGTCCAAGGAGCTCTTTGTGTGTTTCTGCTCTCCTGAGCATGTTTCATGACTGCTTTCACTTCTCATGGGTTTTCCCACCTCTGACATACACAACTTCCAAGTAATCTCTTGGTTGCTGCATTTGTAATCAGTCTCAGGGAGAGCCCTGAAATTACATGGTTGGGTCTTACTCAGTTTGCCATTTGCCTTGGGAATTAGCTTTTCAAGTCTCCCACTGTCTTGTTCCCTAAAGGAGCTTAATTGCACCTTCTAATTAGCCTGAAAGCAGGATTCCTGGAGGTAGTTTTAACAATTTCTGTTCCTGTTCACAGGTCAAAGACCCGATGTATGGTAGCCAGGATAACAGTGTGGCTATCTCTACACTGTTCAGTTAACTTAGGTGATCAGCACCAAGGCTCCCCTAGCCTGGGTAGGAGCATCCCCAGTGCAGTTCTACTCAAGTTACTGTTCTTTCATCTCTGCACTACCATGGGGGGAAGCATCTCATGGCTCTTTGTGGAGAGGTGTTCTAGGATTCTTTCCAAAGACAGCTTGTATGTCCTTCAGGAGGGACTGTGAAAAGCCATTGGAGGACTGTCAGCACTTGATTGCAGGCTAAATCATTCTCAGTGCAAAGTAGATCTGGCCCAATTTATGGGGAACCCTGGTTGTAACCTTAAGACAAGGTCATTTAGCTTAGGCCACATACAGTTTTGAAAGCTGGCTCTGTGTTTTGTTGGCATAAACAGTAAAAATGTTCAAGGCTAAAACCTTGGTAAGAGTCCAGGGCTAACTGTACCATGTGAGGATACCCTGAGAAACATTCATGGATTATAAGGCCAGAAGGGACCATCATGGTAATTTAGTCTGACTCATGCTGTGACACTTCCCTGAACTATTGTAATTCATTTTTGAAGTAGAATATATGTTTGCAGGAAACACACAGCCTAGATTTACATATTGCCAGAATTACCATAATGTTGAGAGATTTGTTCCTAATCACTGTGCAGGTGGTATTTGTTTTCTGGCAGCACCCAAAGACCTCATGCAGTACCTTGCACAAGTGCACAACTAGGCCCAATCCCTGCCCCAAAACATTTACAGTCCCATTTACATCAGTGCATAAACGGGTATCAGTATTCAGTCTTCACAGGCAAGGTCAGCTCCCAGACTACTGCACTGGTCCGCACAGTTTGGGGAGAAGGTAAGCAGCCCTCAGTGATGGAAGAACATGTTAGGGACTATTTAGAAAAGCTGCACTTGTACAAGTCCATGGGGCTAGATGCAGTGCATCCAAGGGTGTTGAGGGAGTTGGCTGATGTGATTGCAGAGCCACTGACCATTATCTTTGAAACCTCCTGGCAATCAGGGGAGGTCCCAGACAATTGGAAAAGGGCAAACATAGTGCCCATTTTTAAGAAAGGGAAGAAGGAGGATCCAGGGAACTATAGATCAGTCAGTCTCTCCTCAGTCCCTGGAAAAATCAAGGAACAATGATCTCAAGTTGCAGCAAGGGAGGTTAAGGTTAGATATTAGGAAAAACTTGCTCACTAGGAGGGTGGTGAAGCACTGGAACAAGTTACCTACAGTAGTGGTAGAATCTCCATCCTTGGAGGTTTTTAAGGCCTGGCCTTGGCTGGGGTGATCTAGTTGTGGATGGTCCTGCTTTGGGCAGGGGGTTGGGCTAGATGGCCTAAGGTTCCTTCCAAACATAATTTTCTATGACTCTAGAGGGAAGGGATCAGGTGAATGTAACAGGACTGGGCTCCAGGGTGCCCGTGCTGCTCCATAGCAGTCAAATAGCTACTGGTTCACCCTGTTTCTAGGTACCCCGTCTTCCACTCTTGCTTGCCACACCTTGATGTAAATTAGAGGTGCACCGATACATCAGTCTGTTATCAGATCAGCACCAATATAAAGAAAATTGGCTGTATCGGAAATTGGCCTGATGTGGCCAATAATTTTGTGTCAGTTTTTTTTGGACACTGGGCCTGCTGGCCCTGTACTTGTCCGGCTCTAGGCAGTGAGCCTGCTCGGGCTCTGTCTGCGTGGGCCCCTGGCCCTGTCTCTGCCTTGTTCAGTATGATAAGCCTACTTTGGCTCTGTATGGGTCCCACTGGTCCTATCTCTGCCCTGCTCTGGATGCTGAGCCTATTTTGGCCCTGTATTCCTAAGCCCCCTTCCCCTGATAAGTCCTTGTCGGATGCTGGGCTTCCTGGCCCTGTCCTTGCTCTGCTCTGGGCAATGAGCCTGATCTGGTTTTGTCTGTCTGGGCCCCTGGCCCTGTCTCTGCCAGGCCATGAGCCTGCTTTTGTGCCAAAGCCCACTCAGTGTGCTGAGCCTCTAGCCCCTGGCAGGCTTAGGACATCTGCATGCCCTCAAGCACTACTGGAACCTCTGCCACCCACCAACAGTATAAACCACAGTGCAGTCCTCTGGCTGTAACAAAACTCTCCCCACACTGGCTTTCAACATAACAGAAGCTCCCTGGAGGGACCACCAAGCTCCATCTCCATACTGGGTTCCACTTCCCTGCAGGTTGCGGAGCTCGGGGCATCTCAAATCAGCCAGGCAGTCCCATTCAGCCTTCCTGCTCAGGAATTCTTACCCCTTCAGCTTGCAGGGCCAGACTGCCTGCCTGCCCCCAGGGTCTGGCTTTGTGCCTCCTCAACCCTTCCCATCTGGTCACATAACTCTGCAGACACTTGCAGGTTTTCTCCTCCTGTTCCCGATGACCCTCCTGCTCTGCCTTATGAGGCTTGAGCTCAGCAGCCTGCAGCCCTCTGCTTGTGGGCTGCCTCCCTGTCTGCCTCAGCGCAGTTTGCTGCTCTGTCTTCACTCCGCATATGGGTTACCTTCCCAGTCCTACTGCTTGCTGGCAGCAAATTCATTAGCAGCTAGCTTGCTTCCAGGCTGCCTACCCTCCCTGATCAGTTCAGTCTGCTCTTGTTTCTTCTTAAAATAACAGCCTCCTGGCTTCCTGTTGAATCTTAATTTTTGAAGATTTGCATTCAATTGCAATGATCCTGCCTGACTTTATGCAGGTGCTGCTAGCAGGCCATCACCGACTTAATACTGTCTTCAGGTATCTGAAGGGCTTCCAGAAAGAAGAGCAACTATTCTCCCTTGCTGCAGAGAGCAGGATATTAACAGTGACTTGAAACAACCACAAAGTAGGTTTAGATTAGATATTGGGGGGAAAACTACCCTGCTCAAACAGTGAGACAGTGGAATAGACTGCACAGGGAAGTTGTGGAATCTCCTTCATTGGACATGTTCAGGAAGAGACTGGATAAGCACTGGACAGGGATGATTTGCATTTGTGCAGGGACTGTGATCAGATGCCTGTGGAGATTTATGGGCTGTGGGGTCATCGCCTGACATGATTGTTTGATCTAGGTGGTCCTGCCTTCTCCCTTTTTTTGCACCTTCCTCTCCCCTGTTTACCTGTGTTTCTTTCTTTCTCAGACCACTGGAGTTTTCTGCCAAGACCCCAGTTCCCTTTCTGCGACAGGTGGTCTCTGCTAAAAAAAAGGTAAGTGCCTTCTTCTAATGTTAGTGGCCTGGTGCCTTTGGGTCTGCTGCAGGAAATGGGGCTTGTGTTTGTCAGGGACAGAATACAGAGGCCATTGAAGGGAATGAAGCATGGAGTGGTAATGGAGGTCAGAGTACAGACCCATGGACTCCAGAGGGGTTCAGGCAGAGAGGCGTGTATGCTTAGGAGCTTTGAATGCTGCAAGGGACTTGCAGAAGCAGTGATACTGCTCCACTCTGTTTACAGTTCAAAGGTTTAGGGCCCTGTGGGTCCACTGGCATCATTTGGTCTAACCACCTGCAGTATGTGCCAAAGCATTTTACTGAATTAGTTCATGGTTGAACTAAAGCAGATCCATCAAAAAGCCTTCAGTCTGGATTTAAAAATTGATAGTTACAGCAAGTCTGTAGAGTCCTTCCAAAGGCTGCACCATAGCTAGAGACTGATAACACCTCCCATCTTGTGCACATTTTCACCGCAGTGCTGTGTCTGCCCTAACCCACAAGTATATATCTAAATTGTTATTTTCCAGAACAGACTTATGGATATGACAGGCATCTGTTGCTCCTAGGTATACAACTTTACATGGGGTCATACTGAAACCCATTTTGTGTGTATCCAACTTAACAAGCAATCTACAGTGCTTGGTGTTAGTGACATTTGCTCTTCATTGTTTACAGCTCCTCTGATCTGTCTCATCTTCAGACTCTGGTAGTGGTTTATGATGCATTTCTTCTAGGTCATTGGCAGAAATGTTAAATAGTCAGGGGCTAGGAGTCCAAGAAATCTGGAGATGGGGTGAAGCTGAGTTTAGGGAGAAGAGGTAGGCTGCATTCAGGGGCCCTCACCTCTGCTATACCTTGCAGGTGCACAGAGATCCGCGCTTTGATGACTTATCTGGGGAGTACAGCCCAGAAGTGTTTGAGAAGACGTACAGCTTCTTGAACAGCATCAAGGAGAGGGAGAAAGAGGTGATGCTGCATCTTTTGCCCACTTGCGGGTAGAAGAAACCTGCCTGAAAGTTGCAGCTTCTAGAGAGGCCTGTCAGTTGGGCCTCCTAGAGAGTTGGGACTCATAGTGCTTGCTGATGTCTCCTATAGATCGTTCAGAAGCAGCTGAAGAAAAGCCGAAACGCAGAGCAGCAAGAGAACCTGCAGCAGTTGCTAAAGAGAATGGTGAGTATGTGTCTTGTACACCCAGCATCAATTTACTGCTCCTGGCAGCATGCTGAAGCAGGCGGGTGCCTGGAGTGACCAGCCTAAATTCAAGGCTGAGAGGTGGCTAGTGAAACTAAAGAAAGGTGGTTTGGCTCAAGCTCAGCCTTGGTAGTTCATAACCTTCTCCTGCTGTGCTTCCTAGACACAGCAGGAAGTTGCTCAGAAAGACCGGCAGAGACGGAGAGAGAAGGAGCTGGCCCTGAAAAAACAACAGAGGGAACAGGCCCAACAGGGGAGGAAGCCCTTCTACTTGAAGAAATGTAAGTTCCTGGTTTGGGCAGAACTGCAGGGTCCAGAAATAGATGGTTGCTGACTATTTGTTATTAATGGATGGTGCCCAGAATATCAATGAACAGGTTCTAAAAATCTTGTTAAATAAATGGCTTTCAAGAACAGCTCCCGCATGCAAGGACAAGGACATGGGAACTGCAAGTGCAGGAGATGTAAGGCTAGCCACTCTGTCAGATTCATTACAGAGACCAGTCAAGAAGAGTAGAATGAGAGCTGGACCCCATAGCACCCCCATGATGCTGAGCACTTTAGACAGGAGTTGGCCAAAGTGACTCAGACACTTGAGAGCCTGAGCCTCACTGGGAATTCACGGGGTATGGGGGAGTGTAATGAAAGGGACATCAGACCCTACACCAAAGATCTGACAGGCTTGACATGCCTCAGTTCCCTATCAGTAGAGTGGGGCTAATGCTTGTATATTGTTAGCTCATTGGGGTAGGGACTGTGTGTGATTGATGCAGCACCTAGTGCCCTGAGGTCAGCTGGGGTAACTGAATATAGCTGTAAAACTACCTGTTCCTTACAGTGTGGGTGAGGTACAAAATCTAGGCAGCACCTTTTGTGTGAATTCCTAGACCTGTACAGCACTGTAGGTGGAGAGGAATGTTCCTGGGGCTTCTTGGGAGATGAACTGTCAGAAGGATTTGGAGAGCAAGAGAATAGAGAAGTGGGATTGGCATGAGGGTACAGACCCAGATAGATAGGGCAAGGTAGAAGGAGCTCCTTGTGCTAGTGACATTTGTGCTAGGAAGTGTCACTCCTTCTCACGAATTGTCCCTTTGCTTTTGCAGCTGAGAAACGGAAATTGGAGTTGGCAGAGAAATATGCAGAGCTGAAGAGGAGTGGGAAGCTGGAGAGCTTCCTGAGCAAGAAGAGGAAGAGGAATGCCATTAAGGACAAGCGCAGGCTGCCCTTCCGTAAAGATATGTGACTGCTGGGGTGGGCTGGGCATGCATGCAGCAATGTTGACTGGATATCAAGCACTGGGATTTAGCTCTGGCTGCTGACTGGCCGTGCCCAACTGTCCCACATCCTGCTCTTGGTTCTCTCTTCTCTGTATCACTGCTCTCTGTTGCTGAATGACAGTTGTCTTTCAGTAGTGGGGTTGGGGCTCTCTATCCACCTAGACAGCCAGGGGTTGAGCAGAATAAAGTTCTGGTCCAAGCTGCACACAGGGCTAGCTAGAATATTCCATAAGGTTCAGACATTGTCTAGAATGCGGGGTCCAGAGTCATGCAGGTTGGTCACAACTAGTTCTGTCCTTGTACAAAATGCCTTTGCCCTAGTATTCATTCACTTGCTGTCAAGGCACAGCAGGCTTGTGCCCCTGCATTAGAATATGAGCAAGAGCTTTTCTCTTGCTCATATTCTGGCAAGAGCCCTTGCTCTTGCACAGGTAGGAGGAGCAGTCTGAACCTCCTGGACTGGCTCAGGTTAGGCTTCATGGAGTTTAGTCCTCTCTCTTTTCAGAACTGATGTCAGCTAAGAGCAGATGCAACTGGGACCCTTTCCAGACCCTACACCACCCTTTGCCAATATTGTGGTTCTGTATTACCCTGCGTGTGTAGCCCATCAGGCAGCTTTGGGTCCATCTGATGGCTTATTTCTCAAAAAATGTTGAGCGTATTTTCATGGGTTGCTATGCAAAAAAGTTGTAATAAAAGATAAATCTCTCATCACTTCTGTGCTGGTAATCCAACAGTTCAGTACAAAGTTTTAGCTTCTTGGGGATTTAATTTCTCCTTTCATGACAAGCTCTCCTCTCCACAGGAATTGCCTTTTCCCATGGTAATGAACAGGATTGCTACATTTGAGTAGCACTCTTCTATGTTTGTTTCAGGCCTTTGGCACCTGTCACACTCCCCACTGCCACTAGAACGGGCAGGGATTTGGTATGTCCATGTTGGGAGGGGGTTCTCCTTTATGCCTGTGAGTCAGACAGGTCAGCATTTTCCTGCAGGGAGGTCCTCTTAGCCTTATAGTTGCCAGAATTGTTCTGCTGATGGTCTTAGTCCCTCTCTCCATTACAAAGTCTTGCTGACTGCACTGTTAGCTACAGGATGTTAAAAGATCTCATCCTGGAGCTGATAGCTCTGCAAGCAAACCCCATGGGGTGACTGCAGTCCTGGTGGCAGAAGCTGCTGTTGTTCAAGATAGTTGGCATAGTTCTGGCAGTAGAACTCTTGCCAGCAGAAATGTACTTGCAGGATGGGCTCAGCTGCTGCAGCACTACCATCATTGTTAAAGAGAAAACAGCCTCCTAGCATAGACATGGCCATAGGGACCTTCTAAGGCAGGGGCAGACAATTATTTTGGGCGTAGGGCTGCTTACTGAGTTTTGGCAAGCCATCAAGGGCCACATGACAGGCAGTCAGGGCAGATAAATATTAATTTTCTAAATGTTTTAGGGGCCCCACAGGCCAGATAGAATGTCCTGGTGGGCCACTTCCAGCCTGTGGGCCACATTTTGCCCACCCCTGTTCTAAGGCCACATTTAGACTAACACCAGTGTAGACAGCACTCCTCCTTTTAGCAGTCAAAGCCAATAGATGTGTTGAGGGCTTTTCAGGCAAATGGGGAGGAAAGGTGTTGATCAGGCTTGATTCTACACTACCTGCACACCTCACAGCTGCTGCTTTCCTGTGGTCAGAGTTCAGTTTTTCAATAGTTATAATGCATGCTCGAAATCTAACTTGAACCACCGACATGAGGGGAGGAAGCACTGCATCACAAAACCAAGGGTAACACCTCTTGGGGAGTGAAAGAGGTGAGCTCAGCTCTACCTGATTTGCAGGCAAAGTCCCTCTTTTTCCACCGCCAGCTTGGCCTAAATCCTGCAGCCAACCTCCTGCTGCATTCTGCAGCCCTCACACACACAAGGCAGCTGAAAAATGGAGTTTCTTATTGTATTAATATTAATTGTGTGTGGTGGGGGGGCAGTCTCCCCTTTTAAAAGTGTCTTTACTATATACATGTTTAATATGTGTAGCATGCTAAAACTTTGTAACAAACATTTTCAATTAGAGAAGTTATTGGCAGGGAAGCTCTAGGCTTAGCCAACTGTACAGGGGGTGTGGGAGTTTCTTGGCATGTGACAGGGGTTAGATGTTAGCAGCAGCAGTGACATTGTTAATGGTTGTCAGGAAAAGTAAGCATCAGACTTCCAGACTCCTCTCTGAGATGAATGGAGGCAGTTAACACTTCCCAGCTCTTGTTGAAGATTGTCTGTGGCTTCAAGTATACATGTATACACAGCTACATATGTGTGTACCATCCAGGCTTTGTTTCAAAGGCTAGCTAAGTGGAGACAGACCAAAGCTCATAAGTGGAGAATTGGAGATTTTTAAGAATGAAGATGCTATGTTTGGAATCAGTTTCTACAATGGTTCCCAAGGAAGCAACAAACCTCATAAGAGCAGAAGGCTGTGACGCAGTTACAAGGAAGGGAGTTTCTAACTGCTGGGTGAGGAGTCCCTTTCTCATCATGGTGTGCTGATAGGGCATTTAGAGTTTTTGGCAGGAAATCTCTAGGCTTAGCCAGCTGTATAAGGGATGGGCATTTTTGGCATATGACAAGGCAGCAGTGTTAAGTAGTGAATGGATAAAACTTAGGTTTTGAGGTCCAATGAATGCTGCACCATAAAGTCAGAAAGGTTCTTCCCGACAGGCTCAATCTCTCCTAACCCAAAAGAGAATGAGAGAATGCATGCATGGGATGGCTGAAAGGTATGTAGTATGTTTGCAGGCAAGGTTCTTTGGGTAGATATGATATCTTTTATTAGACCAACTAAATAGTTGGGAAAAAGTTCTTTGCAAGCTTTCGGGCACAAACACCCTTTGTCAGGCATAGGGAGACTCTGCTGGGGTTGTGTGTTCTCCAAGGTAGAAAAAAGCTAATTTACAAGTATGTCTGTGAAAATGCAAATGAGTGGAAGTTAGGAAGACAATGGGTAGAGATGGGGGAAAAGTGAGGGAAATGTATGAAGGAATGCAAGTGGTCAGCTGGAGGCAGGTTACCTGGGGTATCAGATGTCAGGCAGGTTGTAATATGTCATAAATCCAGTGTCTATATTAAATCCATGATTTTTTGTATCCAGTAGATTTATGAAGTGAAGTTTGTAGGCTCGTCTATGAAAGGTGTTTTGTAAATTCCCTTTGAGAGTTAGAACTGAGAGATCAGCAGGGATCCGGGCTTTCCATTTCCCACGGAAAAACGGAGAAAACCACAGATTTTTCCTTTTAGCAGAGAAACCTGCAGATTCCCTGCTTTTGCAAACAACTCTGCAGGCTGGTTGAGCTCCAGCCTGCAAAAGCTGTTTGCAAACAGGGCAGGAAACGCCCAGCCCTGCCCAGAGGAGATGGGGAGGGGAAGGCTGGGGCCTGAGACTCTCAGTCATCCACAGCTCCGCTCAGCCTCACTCTTCGCTCCTGGAGCCTGAGGTAAATCTGGCTTGCAGGGGGCCCCTCTGACAGGGCTGGGGGGAGCCAGGAGCTGTCCCCGTCTCTACCCAAGCAGGCAGTAGCAATGGAGGAGCCCCGGCTCCATGCTGCTTCTGCTGCAGCTGCCTGCTGTTGGGGGCAGGGAACTGCAGACTTGGGTCCCTGGCCCCACAGGCCTAGCAGCTGGGGGCCCCGTCTGGCAGAGCTGGGGGGCAGGGGCTGTGGGTGGGAGGGCAAGAGGCATGAGTAGGGTGGGGAGCAGTGAGGGGCACCAGCAGGGCTGGCGGGTGCTGCAGGGGGCTTTTAATGTTAATAACGAATTTGGGGGGTTTTGTTAGAGAACTTGTGATTTTTTTTTAATCAGAGAAAACCAGGATCCGTGGAGATCAGAGAGGGAGTGATTGCCTTGTGAGAAGTGGGCACTCACAGGTAATTGGATATTTTTTTTTGTCTTTGGATTTTTATTGTGTGTTCATTCTGGTACACAATTGTTGTTTGGATTCTCCTACATATTTTCCATCATAGCATGCTCTCTGCACTCCTGGGAAAATCTAAAGCAACTTCCCCTAGCAGCTGGGGTCACCTGCTTAGTCAGGCTCCCCTGGGGCAGTACCTTGAAAGAAAAGGCCACAGGTCAAAGCAGTGGTCCCAGACTGTCTAGAATTAAGCCCCTTGAGAAGGTAGGTCCCTGCAGCTGATTTCCAATATTGCCCATTAAGCAACTATGTTTTGTAGTGGCTGCTGTGCCCTGCTGAGCCATGGGGCGGAGACTGGTACATTTTCCAGGAAACACTTGAAGCCTCATGATGGGGATGTCCATCCAGCATTCTGAACCTATCACTTAGCCCCCTTTTTCCATGTTCTCTTGGTGCCTGCTGTCCTGGCAGGGCCATAGCCAGCATGGGCAGATCTAAGGTTTTGAAGAGTGGGGTGCAGATGGTGTGACACATCATCACATATAACACCACACACTTTTTTTCTCCAGTTAAGCAGAAACTAGAAGCTTTACTCTAATATTCTAGGGGGCTACCTCTATAATACTTAGCTTAAGATGAAAGCAAAAGCAAATATAAATGTATTGAAATATGCACCAATTCGCTAGATTATATATTGTTCATAAAAACATGACAAACTATGCAAAACTAGTCAAAAGACATTTTCATGAATTCTGTAGTCATTATAGTAAATGTACATCTCTTTTATTCAGACTTGTAAAACAAAATCTAAGCTACCTGAGTGCCTTGACAGTGCTTCCAATACTTCACTGTCAGTCATTTCTACACTTGAGTTAATATTAACACACCTGAGTTATGGTTTTTAGCTACAGCTAAAAATGGTCTGCAGGGTTGTAAAATAGGATAGTGGCTGGTTTCACGAGAGCTGGCTTTCCACATGCAGGGCAAGAAATGTCAGAGGGCTCCCTAAACTTGGGTCTTCCCTCAGTTTCTTTTGAGCTGACTTCCACTAGCTACATCTGAATTGTTTCAAGAATAATTAGACTTGTAAATCAGCATTTCCCATTATTTTTGTTGCTCACATCATGCTCCAGTGTGTCAGTGGAACTTCTACTTTTTTTTTTTGGTTAGATCTCTGTGCCTTTTAAGCTGACCACTGGGAGAATGAAACATGGTAAACGTTCCACCATAGACTGCTTTCTTGGGTGGACTGGGCCTTTGGACTATGTGGCCAGCCCACCTTAACAGCAGCTTTGCTGTCATTGGCTCTATGTCTAGCATAATTCCTCCTTTTTAAGATTTTGGCACGTGGTAACTTCTGCCACTGGTAATTTTTGCATGAGCTTTTTGAGGCAACTTAGATTGAAGTGACTTAAGTTTTTCAGTGGGATGACTGCAAATAGTCAAGCCCTCATATGCATAAAGTAGTGATGATATAACTGTTGGCCTATAGATCTTAACTTCTGTTGACAATTTTTAATGCCTCTCTCTCTCCCCAAATCTCACCGGAAGCCTTCCGAAAGCAGAGTTGACTTTGAACAGTCTGGTTTATTTCACTGTCTAAAGAGCTTACTTCAGTAGATGAATTGAGTGCTCACCAATAGTAATGCTATACCACTCAGGGTTTGCAAGGAGCAGGCTAGTATGTAACTTTCACCTTCTTGAGAATAATAGTAAGCTCAAAAGTCTAACAAGCCCCACAGTGACTTGGAGATCTTCCTCTATGCGGCCAAAACCAGCACAGTTGTCAGTGAACAAGTGCTCCTGAATCAGCATCCACACCTGAAGACAGGATGGTGATCCAGGCGGACCTTGACAAGCTTGGAAAATGGGCAGATGAAAACTTGATGGCCTTCAACTCCAAGAAATGCAAGGTACTCCACCTTGGGAAGAAAAACGCACAGCATGCTTATAGGCTCTGCAGTGCTGTGCTTACTAGCACCACGGCCGAAAGGGACTTGGGTGGTCATGACTGACCACAAGATGAATATGAGCCACCAATGTGATGTTGCAGCCGGCAAAGCGAGCAAAACTCTGGCTTGCATCCATAGATGCTTCTCTAGCAAATCCCAGGATGTCATCCTCCTGCTGTACTAGGCCTTGGTGAGGCCGCAGCTGGAGTACTGCATCCAATTCTGGGCTCCACAATTTAAAAAGGATGTGGAGAAGCTTGAGAGAGTCCAGAGGAGAGGCCACACGCATGCTCAGAGGGCAGGAAAACAGGCCTTATGAAGAGAGGCTGAGAGCCGTGGGACTCTTCAGCCTGGAAAAGCGCAGGCTCAGGGGGGACCTGGTGGCCGCCTATAAGTATATAAGGGGTGTACATCAGGATCTGGGGGAACATCTGTTCACCAGAGCACCCCATGGGATGACAAGGTCAAACGGTCGCAAACGCCTGCAATACTGTTTCAGGCTGGACGTAAGGAAGAACTTCTTTACGGTTCGAGCCCCCAAGACCTGGAACCGGCTGGCGCCAGAGGTGGTGCAAGCACCTACTTTGGATTCCTTTAAGATTCAATTGGACGTTTATCTTGGTGGGATCCTTGGACCCTAGCTGGGGCAGGGGGCTGGACTTGATGATCTTCTGAGGTCCCCTTCAGCCCTAATGTCTATGAAATCTATGAAATCAGTTCTTCAGAGGTTTCCAGTTTTGGCAGGGAGGTACAATTTACCATTCATTAAAAAAAATACATATACTTTATCCAGCTTCCTGAAGACCTAAATCAGCATAGGAACAAATGAGGGACTTAACAAAACAGGACCTAGAGCACAGCCTTGTACTCTGTTAGAGACAGGAAAAGAGTTGGAGGCCTCGCCATCTTCTGTCAGATTCCAACAAATCTACAAATTCTGCTGAATACCTTGGCCCGCGAGGACATGAGCAAGGAAGGAAGCAGTCTCACAGAAACACATATACTCCCTCCTTTCCCAGCCCTTCAGGACATTTGTGGCAAACTCTCCAATTTGAAAGAAAATAGTCTAGTACATTAGCTAGTACTTGCACAGCACAAGCTGTGTGTTTGTTTATTTGTGACTGGAAAGGAAACCCCTACCCAGTGCATGCTGCCAAAAAAAGAAAACCTCCAATAACATTTCCCCTGAGGAGCTGCAAGCAAAGAGCTGAGAAGCCACTTAGGACTCTAGAGCCATGATCTGAGTATTATACGAAGTAGAATAGCTTCAATAAGATGTTGAGAGCCCCCTGTCCCCCATTGATGACTAGTGTGCTGCCCTGGGGGGTCAGAGTCCTAGGCAAGAGGCACAGTGTTTCCCCATGGCAGCTTTTAACCTGCTATCATATCACTGCCTTCCTCTTCTTTACTCCAAATGTAGTTTACCTAGTTCTGCACCAGATGGTATTACAAACTCCAGCTGGATGCTAATGACTGGGCCATCTCACAGTGCCCCTTTGCCTAGTGGTGCAGGCAGTCTTTTGACAGACAGGAGATGCAGAGGCAAATCCCCTCCGGTAGAGGAGGGAGCTGAATCCAATCACCAGCTCCTGGGCTACTGACACCATCATTGATTTTTCTAATTGAGCCCTTTCATTTCCTTTATACCTCTTGCAATGACATGAAAATGAAGCACTTGGTTTCAGGTGTCCTGGAATGTTCCATTGGACACAGCTGACAGTGTTCAGTTTTCATTTTGGCAACCAAACCAAAATGTTTCAAATTTGGCTTAGTCTGTACTTTCACTTCCCCCCCACCCTTCCCTTGCCCCCTGATTTTTTTAAGTTCAGCTGCCAAAGTGAATGCTCAGTTACTAGCACAGCCCTAATTAAAATGAGTGCTCTGCTTCAAGGGCTTACCACACTATTCAGGTTGCCTTGGATGTTATTTTGTTACATGAAAGACATGTCTGTAGTTGTTGCAAATAACAGTACAGTCCACCATTTGAAAGCTGAATATAATAATGTGCAGCATGGTGAAGGTGGTTCAGGATTGGGACAAGCTTCCCACAAAAGTTGTAGAATCTCCATCCCTGGAGGTGTGTAAGAGCAGATGAGACAAACCCTGGACTGGTATGGTTTAGTCAGGGACAAACCTGCCTTGAGCACAAAATGGGACTAGATGTGACCTCCTGAGGGTGCTTTCAGCCCTACTGTTCTGTAATTCTGTGATATCTGAACAGAGCAGGGGTTACTTCTAGCAAAATTCTAGGCCTGAAAAATGTGCCATGCTGCTTTTTTTAAATACTGGG